AGTAGAGCTCCTTGTGAAAGAGGTCATCCAGATAAGTGTTGCCACCTTACCTATTTCTGCCGCCAAGCAGTAATGTGAACATTACTGTGTTCCGGTTTTTGTAGGGCAAGGGTGCTGGTGAATGTATGTATGTAATGAAATTACAGGCACATGGGACTTGTCAACTTATGTCTCAGCATGATGGGTGCAGTGGGAGGATCCCTCAAATTGCTGCGATTTAAAGCTCTGAGTGGCACTGCAACTGTTATGGACAGGCGTGTAGCTTACCCTCAGGCGCACGAAATATTCGTACCGTCATTTGATATTATAAAAAAAAATAAAAATTGTTCTAGGTAGTGAACAAAGTGAATTCTGTTGCCCTGTAACTTAAGAGCACAAGGAAATTTCCTAGTTTGACATCAGGTATTTTCTGTGGTAGTTTGGCACATTATTATAATTTTTATTATAAAAAGATTTACTTATCGAGTTGTTAGGTTTTCGCTATTGTTACAAACAGGAAATGAAACTATTTTTCCGGATTTAAATCGCGTGCATTTGTTTTTCCAAACAATTATACACACAAGACAAGTCAAGTCTGCAGTCTGCGAGCATGTCATGGATAAACCTACACATTCATTGAAGTTTGACAAACCCCAGGTCCTTGCAAAAGAAGTCCGTTATCTACCCAGGATGCTGCGAGAGGTCATTGAAATTGAAAACATCCTAATTTCAACAGGGAAGATGGTTTCTCCGTACCACCAGTTTGGGATCCTGCATTTCCTCTGATGGAAAATCCCAAATAGACATAAGACTTATTTATGTCTATGTGGGATACGTAATTTATTCTAATTTCTATTATTAATTAATAACAAATTGAACTTAATAAAAATTCATTCAATAAAATAATTTGTAAAACGTAATGTAGGACTATTTGATGTCCACACTAGCTTTATAGTCTTTTAATGTGGATGTGAGTAATAAAGATACAGTTAAAAAAAGGTCAGTCTAATCATTAAAACAATGTTTGATTAAACGTAACGTCTGATAAGATCATAAATAGCCTACTTAGTTCTTAAAACTTTCTAAGTCATTATTGTTCATCATTAGTTACAAGTTCTTCACAAATTAACTAAATATGGGAAGAAAAATAAACACTTTTGCAGTCATAAAAGACTCAGAAGCTAGTGATAATCTTGTAGCCCGTTTAATAAAACAATATATTGTACATGTAATCAAATTGTAATTAAAAAATGGTGGAACTGAGATATCACGATTTGAAAGTTAAAGAAAATTACCAAGTAGATCTCAAATGGATCTCTCTTTCTTTTTGGGATAATAATAAGCTTTAAATACAAAAGTCAGGAAACCTTCAAGGGGCCATTCCAAAGCGACGGGTGGGACATTTTGACTCCTTTTCTCTTGAACTTTTTTCAAGTTTTTCATATGTGATAACTTGAATGTTAAATATCGAGTTCTTAGGTTGAATGTTAAAGTTTTATTTTATATATACACTTAATTAATAACTTTGATACATTTTAAGAAAATTAATATGTCAAGTTGTGACGGGTGGGACGAGACATGATGTTGTGACGGGTGGGGCGAGTGACAATTGAATACAGAGAATTAATAAAATTACATTGTTTAATATGAGATTCATCATTAGTAAGCAAATATTTTATAATTTTTGTCTTATTAAGACATTTTAACATACTAAATAAACAGAGTTAAAGAACTGATAAAGTAATCCTATTATTTTTCTTGAAACACTGTCTATGACGACATGAAATCAAAGTCACGAATCTAAAATGAGCTAATCAATTTGAAAAATCCTGCCGCATCCTTGAAGATTATGTCCTTTTTGATTTTTTTATTTGTTGATTAGATCCTATCAAAATATACCAAATTTTAGAAATTTTGCTCGTAGTTAAAACTAGTGGAGACAGACCTTTCATGAATTTCCTTATACTAAAAAACATCAGGAAAAATGTTATCACTTTTTAATTGTCTCTTTTCATGTGTTAAAATGTCTTAGTTATGAGAAGAGTTATAAAAAACTTGGTTACAAATTATGGATCTACATATAAACAGTATTTTTTTCAATTCTATGTATTCAAATGCAACTTGTCCCACGTGTCACAAAATGGTGTCCCAACCGTCACAATTTAACACATCAAATGTTTTTTAACCCCGAAATTAAAGCAACTGTTACACCTAGTAAACATCGTAAAAGCTCGAGTCCATGAAAATACAAACATTTAGTCAAAGTAAAAACCTTTAGAAGTGTGTCCCACCCTATTGCTGTGGCAGGTGGGACATACTTCCAAATCTTAATATTTACATTCCTATTTACGTGCACGATGCCCCACCAATCCAATATACCCTTAGCATACTTACTTACTATACTTTTACAAAAGTTTTTTTTTTATATAAAATATATATATTTCATTGTGACGGGTGGGCCTTGAAATTTGTATTTATTGAAACTTTAATAACTCTTCACCATATATACTTCCATGCAATTACTTATCACTGTTTTAAAATTCGTAAATTGTATTTTCTTCGACAGTAATAACTTTTTTAGAATGACGCACAAATTGTTGAGCCATCAATATGGCAATCAATAATATGTATTTCAAAATTCTCAGTGGTGCGCACAAAAAAAACTTTGCCCGACTACGAAAGGGACGATGCGCGAGCTCAATCCATAATAGTCCAATGCTTATCGGACAAATATATAGACATTGTAAAAAAGGGCGAAACAGCAAAGAAAATGCTGGAAAACCTTGAGGGAATTTTTGAAAAAAGAGCGCATATAATAGATTTTATTTAAAAAAGGAAGCTCATCACCCTGAAGTGGGAAAACAACGAGTCGCTTCAAGAGCATCTGATGAAAGTCGAAGCCTTAATAAATGATTTGGCAGCGATTGACGTGAAAGTAGACGAAGAAGACCAAATTTGTTATTTATTGTCGCCAATGCCGAAGACGTACCACCAAGTTATAACTGCAATAGAAACGATTGCGACAGATAAGAAGTTAAATTATGAATTTGAAAAGTCAAGACTGTTAGATGCAGAAACAAAAATGAAAAACGATAATGACAAAACAGAGAGCAAAGAACAATTCGAGAATGCGTTTTTCAATTGTTATTCTTGCGGGAAAGCAGGACATAAGTCATTCGAGTGCAGGGCTTAAGGCCTAGGACGAGGTCAAGGTCAAAGGAGAGAACCGGAGCGAGGTCGAGAAATGCAAAGAGGGCGTGATACTATACGAGGAAGAGGATTTAGAGGAGATCGAAGACAATCATATGGACGAAATCGAGGTTTTACTAGCGATGGCTGGTGATGACCAGTGAGCGTCTACAGTGGAAGTACAAGAAACACAGGAATCGCAAATTGGGTTTTTTGTAAACGAGATACTGGCAAACGTGAGCGACACTGGAGGTATAGAATTAATAGTTGACTCTGGATATGCAGAAATTTTAGGTAATGAGGAATACGAAAATTATACGTCAGATATTATATTTTTCTACCATAGCATGAAAATATATGTGGCAAATGGCCAATGTATAACTACAAACAAAAGAGGTAAGCTTAAAATTAAATACCAAAATATAACTATTGACACTTTAATTGTCAAAAATATAACTTAAAAATTTATTAAACGACGGAGCCATAGACACAAAAGTTGAAGTTGAAGTTGATCAGTGTAAAAGATAGTTGATGCAGGGTTTAAAGTAAATTTTACTAAATACGATGTACAAATATTTAATAGAAACTGCTATTTAAGCGGTGTATGTCATAACAAGTTGTATAGAATAAAAGCTGAGTTATGTAGAGTTGAAATGTGCAATGTGAGTAACGATAATATAGATGACTTATGGCATAAAAGGTTAGGGCATTTAAATAGGAAGTGTCTTAACATAATGAGGTTACCTGTTTCCGATAAAATTTGCACCCCGTGTATGGAAGGCCGAGAACGAGCATGATCGCCGAGATGCTGCATACAGACATAGCAGGGCCAGTTAAACAGCCAAGTCCAAATGGTGAGAATGATGTGAAATATTTTACGCCTATTATCGACGATTTTTCACATTTCTGTGTTGTTTATCCATTAAAGTGTAAGTCAGACGCGACTGAGAAGCTGATTAATTATAATCTGAGATTGGAAACAGATTCAGGAAATAAGGTTAAAAGAATAAGATGCGATAATGGGGGCGAATACACTGCGAACAAATTACGACAGTTTTGTGACAGAAAAGGGATAAAGTATACCGTGTCCTACACCCCTCAGCAAAATGGCGTTTCTGAGCGGATGAATCGCACACTGTGCGATAGAACTAGAACTTTATTAGCGGAGACTAAGTTACCTAAACATTTGTGGTGCGAAGCCATTCAATGCGCAGCGTATCAATTGAATAGATGTCCTAAGTGGGCTATAAAATTCAAGATCCCGAGTGAATTGTTTTATAAGAAAAAATATTTATCTAGACTAAGAATATTTGGTTCAAGAGCTTGGGCAACAATAATACCGAAACAAGACAAATTTGACAAGAGAGTGTGAATGGTAGGTTATAACATTGTGGGATACAGACTTTGGGACCCAGAAAATGATAAAATAACAATATCACGAGATGTGAGATTTGATGAAGGTGATTTACAATACGAAGAAAAAAGTAAAAACGAAGAAACAAAGTATATATTACAGGAAGAGACGCAAGTGAATAAGCAAGAAGAATCTGTCAGTACAAATGAAAAGGAAACTGAGACATTAAAAATTACAAAATCGGGAAGAAAAGTAAAACCTCCG